TCAACCGTAGTTTGTTATTATTTTGAGTTGTTATCAGGAAGATACTGCTGCCCATCAGCTGTTTCAATTTCCCCTGTCACCTCTTACGACACCCACGGGACGATATGGGGTAGTGGATATTCTTACACCGCTACTACACGGTATTTATTATTAATAAATAATATACCTTTAAACGAGCAATTCTTGTATATATATAATCGGAATCTCGGAAACGGCTCCAAGGATTTTCATAAAATTTTGTGTGCAGGGGGTTTCGGGGGCAATGAATCGATCTAGCTAGAATTTATTTTTAGAAAATGTCTTTTTGTCCGTGCTTTTAGGTAATGAAAAACTGCTAAAATATCGTTAGAATAAGAAGGTAAATTTTGACAGTTTATTGATGATTACAAATAGCTTAATTGGTATATTAGACCGTTACAAAATCGTAGTACCATGGTTCGAGCCCAGATCGACCAACCGACTTTTTTTAATTTTTTTCTTTCAAGTTCCTTTCTTTTTTGAGAAAATCTATTTTTTTCGAGCCCTTTTTTTAGTATTTTTTAAAAACACGAAAATTTAAATTAAACTAATTGCACTCATGATTTTTTATTCAAATAACCAGTTCATTTTTTTCTATTATGTCGCTAAGATCAAAAAATATTATTCGTATTTCATCAGTATGTAATTTGTATCTAAATATAATTTCCAAAACACACGAATTAAAAAAACCCGAGCGAAAAATACCGAGCAAAGCTCGGTCAACCGGGTACTTAATAAATAGTAATTAATTTCTTTATAGTCATCTAAAAATATTGTACATATAATATTTTTAACAATTAAAACGCATTAATAAGCATGAAGTTCAAATACAGTAATTTCGAACATTAATTAGCATAATAAATTAAAGGCTTAATATTGTCTAAAAATTCATAAAATTTGCTAAAAATGCTTAAAATATCAAAATGTATTAAATAATAGAAACACAAGTCGTTTATATCAATATACAAGTATTTCTATTATTCCACGCTGCCCCTGATTCTACGCATCTTGTGGTTCTGGTCGATGGAGGTATGCGAGTGGTGATGTCTGCTGGGATCGTACGAGGGACTTTGGAATGGTGTGTAAACTCTACGATAGTCGTATTGCGTCTCTGCGATGGTTGTTTGGTGAGTCATTATTCTCAATGGTGCTCTCTGTGTCTTGATTGGGCTCACACGTTCACACCTAAGTAGCTTTGCCCAAGACGGGTCTCATCATGAAGGGGCCAAAGACGGTATGGCCACCATAATGATTAAATTATATAACAACATAATAAAATATCTCCGTAAATTTCTCCGCCTTTGAATGATTGAAGGCAAATTCTTGGTCGGCGAGACAAACATGATCGAAAAATGCATATTACTCAACGTCAGTTACACAAACTTTTTCTGATGGCGAATTATTATTAATATCTTATAACTGCCCTTTGGCTATATCTGCTGTTTGTATTGGTCACAAGTTTGTCTTATAAGTCTGAAATGAAGACAAGTTGGACTGGCTTGCAGGAGTTGAAGACTGCGGAAGACGATTCTCGGGAGTGAATGGTTGGGGTTCTTGAGGATAATGACGAAGGTTTAATGTCATAATTTCTGAAGGTTAAGGTTGTTTTAGTTGCGCGTGTTAACATTACGTCGGGATCACCAGTTTGGCCGTGGAAGGAAAAGGAGAGATCTCCCGCCAGGAAGGTTCGAAGCTACCCTAATTAGATTTTATATATACTGCTTTACTTCGAAACTTTGATAGCGCGATCTATGCTTCGATGTGTTTCGCTTGTGGCGCGACAACAGCGCCGCCACACGCTCATATTACATATTACGCGCATATGAGTGTAGTGGTTTTCTTTACATAAATGATTTTTTCGTTTTCTATGTAGACTTGTTTTTAACATAATTTTGTCTGTAATATCTGTACGAACGCATTTTTATTGCATCTATCATTATAGATAGAAACTATGCTATTTTCAATTTTAAAATATTATCAGTAAGCGAACGTTCACTACAGTGGTGAGAGCTATGTGTAGAGTTTTTACCGATTATAATATGAATTTTTCCATGATCACTTTTCAATTAAGATTTACATATAAACGATTAAGCGGATAAGAGCTTGGTTAAGTTGCTAGAACCCGTGCCCGTGGAGTAAGCATTAGTATGATATCCAAATAATTTTACCGGGTCTGGAAATGGCCCATGTGCAATTTGTAAGTGTAAAACGCCTCCGTGATGCAGGGGAAATTCCTAGTGTGGGGTAAATATTTTTAATAAATAAATTAAAAATAACTTTAGCACCTCCTATAATTATACAAAAAAGAAATATCAAGATCGGTAAGGGCAAGCAAGTGACAAGGTCAAATCTTCACAGATGTGAGATATCAGGTACCACGATTGCCAATATTTGTCCTAGTATAAGAAAATTACCGTATTTAACAGAGTTAATGATACAGACTGAAGACAATTAGAAAAATATATTCATTTTAAACGCTTTATAATAAAAGCTTCTTGTGTACATATGTTATACGTGTGTTTAAATGTAATAGAATTTTATAGTTTAGCTTTCAACCACATCTATAGGTTCGAAAATGTGCAGATTTATTAAGAATCGATGACAATACAATAATATAATGACTATGACCGCATATTTTTCTTAGAATCAACACAGATTCCACGAGGTTTATTATCAGTGCATGGTTTTTTTTTTTGCTTTTTTTTGAAGTGAAACTACTTTAGAATTGTTGTGATATGAAATGAAAAAGCGACGCTAAAAAGAGACAAACATGTATAACATTCTATTGGATTTAGCATGCGAAAGAATCAGGAAAATTACAGTGCAGTATGCGACAGTAGACTAATGATAGGATGCGGCCCTTGCACTCAAAAGGTTGTGGGTTCCAATCGCCATTCGAGTCTACTGTCGTGAACCACTCCAAACACAAACATTTTCAGCTTATCAGTAGTGGCTAATGGAATATTTGTAATGTTAATTTAGTTAGCATTGGTAATGGGTTTTTCAACAAGAACTTTGTTTTTCAATTGGGGCAACACCAACAACATGACAGTTTTGACATTTAGTTTTTTGACCTATTCGTAGTAGATGCTTTGGCAATTGCTACAATGAATTCAATTTCGCTCGAAAATCGCATTAAAATAATTAAAATCTACTATGAAAATGGTGGTTCTGTTAAAGTTACGTTTCGTAAAATTCGTGATATTTTCGGACAACACAATCGTCCGTCTGAGACCGCTATTAAGAATTTGGTCGCGAAATTTGAATCGACAGGCTCGGTACAAAATGTGCCAAAACCAACGCGTGTTTGACCGGGTCGTTCAACCGAAAACATCGCAGGCGTGAGCCACAGTGTTGAAGAAGATCCAAATTTGTCAATTCCTCGACGTTCTCTACAATTTGGATTATCCGAAACCACCACATGGCGAATTTTGCGTAAAGATTTGGCTTTGAAGCCTTAACAAGGTTCAACTGGTGCAGGAATTGAAGCTGACCGACCATTCACAACGCCGTAGATTCGCTCAATTCATTCAGGAACAGCCCGCTGGTTTTTCTGAAAAAATCATTTTTTCAGACGAAGCCCATTTTCACTGTCAGGGTACGTCAACAAGCAAAATTGCCGCATTTGGGCTTCTGAAAATCCTAAAGCGATTATTGAGAAGCCTTTGCATGCCCAACGTGTCACTGTATGGTGCGCTATGTGGTCTGGAGGCGTGATTGGGCCGTTTTTTTCGAAGATGAGGCTGGAAATGCGGTAACGGTCAATGGATCACGATATCGCGAGATGTAAACGATTTCAATTTTGGCCTATTATTGATGACATCGATATCACAAACATGTGGTTTCAACAGGATGGTGCCACATGTCACACAGCCAGCGAAACGATCAATTTATTGCAAACCAAATTTCCCGATCGCATAATTTCACGAAATTCAGCTGTTAAATGGCCAGCCAGATCGTGTGATTTAACACCACTGGATTATTTTTTGTGGGGCTATGTTAAGGACAGAGTCTATACGGAGCCAATCGAATCGATCGCGGCCTTAAAACTCAAAATCCATGACGTGATTAACGAAATAGACCCGCCATTTTGCCAAAAAGTGATTAAAAACTTTGATGAAAGAATCGACATTTGTCAGTGTGGTCATGGTGGATATTTGCAGATATCATTTTTCATTCATAATTGCCAAACTTTTCTCTTCGTAATACAATAAAAATTTGAATCATCTTCATCTAAACTCTTTGTTTTATTTTGTTTTAGAAAACAAAGTTCTTGTTGAAAAACCCGTTACTATTTTTTAAATGCAATGTTTCCTAACATCTCGGTCTCCTTTTTGTGCAACGGTTTAAAAATGGTTAGATAAATTTTAACTATCAAAAAACAGTTGAAAAAAGTAACAAATTTCTGAAATAAATAAAATTAACCAATAGAATAAAATTATCACATTCAACCCATTAATAACAAACAACGATATTATAACTTTTCGATTTATATTAAATTAGTCGTGTTTGGCCATCTAGCGTCTATTTTACGTTACCTGAAGATTCAATGAATTTTTAGTCGAAAAAATTACTTTACTTATAGAATGACGTAGATGGCGCTATAACAAAGCAATTTTTCTCTAGAGAAAATATTTTTTGATTTATTACACTAAAATTTAGGCGTAAAATGAAATGTAAAATAAATTTTAAACTCGGTAACAGTATAATAATAAATAAGCCCTACAATTCTTAATCATGATACTTAGTGAAGTTTAGTTTTCTGAACGTTTTACTTCTACCGCGTGCGAACTGGATACATGTTTTATTTTATTTTTTAAATGCTAATGTTATTTGTGAATTATACGAGTATATTAGAATAGGATGTCATTAAACAATCTAAAATAAATATCTAGTTAAAAAGTGTTAAAAAGCTTGTTAGTGACACTAAATTGATTACTTTGGACGTTAATGTTGAGCACTCAATAATTAGTTTTACTCACATTATAGACTGGTTCAGGATAACTATAGCTCTGTGAAGAGAAAACGTAAAACTTGAGTACGGCAGTAAACAACTTTTAGTGTTTTAGTAATGTAGTTTAAAAATATAAATTGTACACGTTACGAGTATGTCCTAGTTTAATTCGTACCTGATTACATTGTTTCTCGATACTAATTTTAGTTGATTACACATATTTAATTTTAAACTGCACTATACGAGACCCAATAGCGTACTGACTAAGTGTGGAAGTAAAATAAAGCGTAGAAGTAGCACTGCGGGTTACAGGTTCGTACCCCGTCTAGAGCAAGTAATTGTACTATCTACAAATTCAACGATAGATGTATGTCTCTTACTGCTGGAAACTTTACACATTTAATGAAACACAATGGTATACACACTATCAAAAGTTTTGCCGTGCCGTTTTGGTGTGATCTTATAAATAATTTATTTTTTATATATTTTATTTATTTATAAGATCACACCAAAATGTAAAACAACAGTTTAATTACATTAAGCTAAGTAACGATTTCAGCAATGAAACTAAACGCGATCAGTTCAAGTTAAACATAATTTACCCGCTTAACTGAGTTCAGGGTACAATTTGAATTTCACTTACATCGACTGAACGTACGAATAATTAAAGCAAAACGCGGTTCTCTCACGGTACTTGTGGAGTATTTTTTAATTATAGTTTTATATTTTGCTAGTATCAATGATATTAAAACTTCAATGATGTCAACATTTCATATGTATATATATCACTTATTATCAAGAAATAACAATTAAAAGAGCGTCGGCACTAGCTTTTGATGAAAGTGATAAAGAAGATATTGTATGTCATCCAAGATCTAGGTTACAAAACTACTTTAAAAAACGACAAAATCAATGGCAGCAAATAACTTCTATTTCGATAGAAAACAAAAACAAACAGAAATGACGAGAATAACAGTTCGTATTAAGTGTCTACATGATATTTTATTCATCAATCATACTTTGAAATTTGTATAAAAACGCAGTTTACAAAGTATTATAAAACCACGGCCGTAACAAACCGCTGTTTAATATTTCCAGTGGCTGCAATATGAAATTCACAAGCATTTATCTATAATTGTGACGACATTTTCATGTCACTCAGTTTTCATAAACGCAATCAAAATAGAACTGGTGAAATCAATTTGATGAAGACCAACATCAAATTATACATATGAACTCAATTAAGCAAATGGTTGTTGCATGTTATAAGCGCAAAGCGCGTAGGTATGTTCTACTAGCGCCTAAAATCAAGAATCCGACGTTTTGTCGCATTAAATATTATTTAACAATCATATTGAGCATATAAATGATATAAAAAGCACATTGTCAGAAAGATAACTGATTGTTGAACATATTATTGATTTTTTAAGCGATTAATTGCTATTTTTACGTTAAAAAAGTGGTTTTAATGGCATATGGTGTAGATTTATCAAGTCCGCACTGAGGGGTAAACACGATAACTTTTGAAAATATCAAATGTTCCACTTAATCTATTTTTTAATCTCTTCATCTATCATGTGGGAAGCCATGGAATGTAAATGGCTGTTTAATTTTGTTTTGTTTGTAGTTATAATTATTTTTTTCGGCTGAGAAGTTCCGAAGATTATTTTTTCACGATCATATGGGCCTTACGAGTCGAGCACTTTTGAATTTTTAAACACTTTTTATTGATGTTGGACATAAAATTATCGGAAAATTAGAAGTGATAGTAATAAGGTAATTTGTGAAAACTTGTATGTATTTAAAATACCTTAAAAATTGACGTATAACATGAGCGCTTAAGGCATGCACATTTGGATTTACCAAAAAAATTTTTATTGAACTATGCTCCTTAAATTTGGTGAAATCGGCACTAAGAAAATCTCCTAAGAATAATTTTCTTTATATATATAATTATTCTGTCCGTGTTTATGTGACTGAATTCCTCATAAACGGCTAGACCGATTTTGATGAAACTTTGAGTGCGTGATTAATGATGATGATTCGAGAATGATTTAGATTCACAATTGAACCCGGCAGGTGGCGCTGTTATTGAGATTCAGATACCACCCGTGCGAAACCAATATATATAAAACATTGACTTATATATTACTAGCGTAAGGACCGGGCCGACCAAACAATTAAAACGGACCAGTGTGCTGGCCCTAAAATAACAGTTTAGGGTCAACGCGAATCGGTCGACAGTGGTGCGCGCGCAGGACAGATTTGCCTGTCATAAATATGTCTAGTTGCGTGTTAAACGATGCAAAAATTACGATTATGAGACGAAAGATTAAAAATGAACATGGGATATCGTCTCATCGGTTAATAACTTTATATTAATTTTGTTTCAATAAAATTATTATATAAACGCATTTTTATTTTACAGTTAGCTTAGTTACATTATCAAGATTAGGCCAGGGTTGGATTCAAACCCTCAAAAATATTGTACATGGAAAATAAAATAACAATATTTTAAAAAAATTATATCACGTTTAACGTTTCATGTTCATTTTTTCCCATGTGCCGGGATTTTGGCGTTACGCGTCTAGTTTATCTATACGTTACGTTTTTTGATGGTTTTATTTTTATTTCTATTTTATTTTTGTCTAAAGAACTTAGTGTAAGTTAAATTTTGAATAGTGGTATCTAATATATTGCATATTCAATAAGAGTAAAACGAAAAGAGTACAAAAGAAACCATATCTGCTAAATTGAATCTGAAAATCTGATTCATAAAAATTTTGAAATTCTGTTTGTTATAGTTGTATAAAGGATGGAACATAAATGCATCGATCGAGCACCGATTGACTAGAAAGGGAGCTAATTCTAATTTTATTTAAAAAAAAACGCGGTACCATGTACAAAACAGAAATTCTTGATATCGTAGGGTTAATATTTAAAAAAAGAACCCAATAATAATACAAGTTGACCTTTATGTAAGATTATGGTATTTTCGCTTAGTATTATTACGATACTATATACAACAAACTACGAAATAATGGTTATAATAAGGACAATTATACTACGAAATCCGACCCTAGTTACGTCGTGTTTTGATATGACGTTTGTATTATGACAGATGCGCTACTTTTTCTTGTATGAAAAAGTTATGAGTAAAATATATAGATGGGCCTTTCCTTCCTTTTGAAATCATTGATATAAAACTACTCAAATATTACTCCAAAAATATTTTGTGAATAAAACGAAACGAAATTGGAATATAAATATAAATCAATAAGTTTCAACGGCACATTATTATGCAAACGTACCCTTGATATCCTGAGCGGCTGATTCTGATCCGCGCCGCCGTGCATACGGAAACCCCAAGGCGCTCCGCCCGTCAGTTCCACTTCTCTCGTTGTCATCGTCGATTTTTCACTTCATTGCCCGCGCTGATGCAATCTACGACTTTACTGCCGAGTCGCGTTTTCAATGTATCTCAATGAACCTTTCGTGTGTTAAAATGTTTGGAAGTCCATTTTATAGTGAAGTATTTTATTATTTTGTTGTGAATTTATGACGATTTTCGTATTAGCACCTGTAACAAATTATTATATAAGTTTAGTTGGTGATATGTAGATATTATAGATAGACGTAGTAAATTACTAGTTACAAAGAAGGATTGATCTTATGATAATTATTCCTGCTGTCGTCTACCGATTATAACTAGTCTACAAAAAGCGTGTAAATAAATTGAATAAATCTCGTACAGTAACGATTTAATGATATTCTTTCTCTTAGCGTACCGATGTTGAACCGCTTGCACAAGATTAACTGTCAAAGTGACGACACAAGACAATAATTAGACAATTCTCAACAGCTCGCGTGTTAATAGAGGCGACTGCTCATTATGCGCACATATTTTGTACTGGTTCCTAATTTTACACACTATAACCCGTTGTTATTCTCCCTGATACGCAACTTTTTAATATTTTCTTCTTCATCGACCCCTAAAAGGCAACTGCTAGACATAAGCCTCTCGTCTTTTTTTTTATAGAAGAGGGGGCAAACGAGCATGCGGCTCATCTGATGTTAAGTGACTACCGCCGCCCATGATCAACCGCAACACCAGGGGAATTGCAGGTGCGTTGCCGGCCCTTTAAAAAATAATAAGACATAAGCCTCTCGTCTTCCGGGAGGGTTTGCTACAATCGTGTGCTCGCTTAGCAAGGGAATGGGATCGCAGCACCAAACGTCTCGCACCTTTGACACCGTTTTCATCTCCAGTCTAGAAATTAACGTTTTTTTATGGGATAGGGTGACAAACGAGCACACAGTCCACCTGATGGTAAGTGGTAGCTGTGGCACATAGACATCTACATCTATCCTCGATTACGAATCAAAATACAGATGTGTTGTGACCCGTGAGGACTAAGATGGAATGCCTCGTTTTCGGCAAAAAGGGTCTCCGGTTCTCTATACTCACCATACGAAACACAGCAGCATTAAACTACTGTTTTACGCTGGTATTCTGTGAGAGCGTGGTACTTCCCAGGTCGAACAGACCCATTCGTGCTACAACTATACTACTAATATAACTGCAGCATGGCTCTACCACATATGCCTATTACGTCTTACTTAAAGGAGATGATCACTCCATTCATCGAAAGCTATGAGCTCCTTCTAGCATTTCTCATAGTAGCTCGAGTCGACTTTCCCACGCAACCACCACACGGCGATTGTCGTCCATTCAAAACGATTTTAGTTGAAAAATAAAACAATTGAAATTACGGATGCTTATTTTTTTCTAATACAAACTAAGTAAGATAACGACAAACGTAACTAAACTAGTTTACATAGATCATGTTTACACATTGTCAGGAAATGCACAATTTGTGTGATCTACGAGCAGGGATTTGAATATTAACTTTTTGCCTAACGTATTTACTTTTACTGGATGCTAAGTCGACGGGGTATAACAAAATGTAACATGTCACGTACAAAGTGTGTGTAGTAGCAAAACAACAAACTAACGTTTCTAGTTATTAATCTAGCGCTCCTTTGTTAGCAAGTTTAGCATCTAGCTTTAAATGAAGTTGAAGAATGAATCTTCGGTGTGGTGGAAAAGCTACGTTTTGTCGCTACACCACCGCACATACACAACGTAACATACAAAACCGAGATGCTGAGTTCGAATCGGATAGGGTCAGAACATCAGTTTTTCTGTAAAGAAATTCTCAGTAGAACCTGTCATGGAGTTGAAATGAAAAGCACGTAAAGCTGTTGGCTCTGCACCTCATTTCTCCTCAGTCGTATCAAACTATCGTCCCATTAGACTATGCGAGTGAGGTAATATACAGTGCGTCCGTCTGTGCTTACGCACACACTTGATTGTGATGCACTGTGGCACTACAAGCCCGTCCTGCGCATCTGGCTAGTATCCATTGTTACTAGTAGTGCTAGCACTGAAGGACATTATCATAATGAGCAAAAAATCTAGTTTATTTACTGGGTGATTTTTTTACCGTCTGAAAAAAATAGGGTATAACAGATGAACGGAATAGAAGTCTATGGCACTGATATTTTACAATTTTTTTGCTTTTACATAAACATTTTATAAAATTGAACTTTCAATATATACCACTAATTTGTAATAAACTTTCGGTAATAAAAAAATAAAAACAAAAAGTTTGAACTAAATAAATAAACCAAAACTAAAAACTATCGAAATTAAAATAATACGCAACCAATTAGTAGTAGATATTAGTTGATAGATCAATTCCATAATATATTAAATAAAAGCAAAAAAAAAATTGTAAAATATCAGTGCCATAGGCTTCTATCCCGATCACCTGTTACACCCTATTTTTTTCCAGAAGGTAAAAAAATCATCCAGTATAACTTTATTTTCGCCGTATAGTAGTCTCAAGTGTCTCAAGAAGTCCCAGAAAGAAATAAATCAGGAGATGAGCAATAGCACCTGATACAACTCAAACGAATACAATCCTGCGGTTGCCATCCCGCTTACCAAGTGTGGCAACTATGGAAAATATTCCTGCTATGTGGCAATCATAGGGGGGAGGCATATGTTCAGCAGTGGACTTTGGATAGGCTGTAATTGATGGATGGTTATTTATTTTCATCATCAACTCGTAACAGCTGGACAGAGGTCTGTCCCGTTGTAAGTTCACGAGGGCATTATCAAACGTTTCGTGCCTGTGAGGTTAGTCGCCGTCGTCAACAAGATCTATCTCGCATTTTTCATAGTCGCCTGTTGCAACATCCACGGTAAAATATTGGGTGATGAATTCTCTTAAGTCGCCGACATGGCATAAAATTCAAAAGGAATAAATACCGATTCTTTCAGAAAAGTCATATCGCCCTCAATTTACTATTTAATGTAGTTCGTGAAGTTAGATGCAAAGTGGCGTCTTACTGGCGTACCCCGATACTGCTAAAGTTCTGTGATCAAGTTAATAAGTTTCAGTGCCTAGGTACTTGCTGTAGTTGGTTTTTGATGAACAGACAGACAAACTTACTCAATACTACAATTCAAAGCGGAGATTAAGCAAACTATCTGCTATAACTTCAATCCAAAATATCATACACGAAAACTGGTCCTACCTTTAAGTTCTTAACACCATCATTATTCAAAAGTTATATTAAAATATGAGCCGTGGTAGCTCAAATGATAAGCGCTCGCTATAGATTCCACAATACGCGAGCAACCGAGATTCGATCCCTGCCGAGACCGATAAGATCGTTAATTGTAATTTTAATTTCTTATTCACCACATACTTAGCAATGAAGGAAAACATCATGAGGAAAACTGCACGTCTAGAAAATTAAATAAATATATAACGGAGACATGTAAATTCATTTCACATGCATTGAAGCAGCGCGATGGATCTTACTCTAAAACCCTCTAAGAAATGAGAAGAGGCCTGTAGATTACGAGTAAAATAGTAGTTGAAGATTTTATAATCCGCCACATGGTAAATTTCCATCACATGATATGAACATTTTTGGCCTTTTTTAAAAATATTTACACGAAAATGTTTCCATCCCCGAGGACAAAGATGAAATACCTCGACCTCACAGACTATAATAATAATATTTTACTATTCGAATTGGAAACAAAAGTAAGCGCATTGCTACTTAGCGATATGAAAATGCTGGGTTCCTTATATAACCTTGTAAATAATAAAGTATGACTACTCCTATAGAATAAATAATGTTTAAGTAAATTTCTTTACGTAGATTCAACAGTTACCGCTCATGACAAGAAAGTTGGCAATTCTTGTCATGATGTCACTTATAGCATTAAATCAACCAGGTTTTGCATGGTTATTGAAAAAAATCCCCTTATTTGAACTGCTTCTGGTCTAAATGTTATTCATTAACTACCTACAATACAAAATTTAATTAAATTAAAAAAAATTAATTAATGAATTTAACCCAAATACAAAATTTCATAGAAATCCGTCAAGAAGTTTTTATGTAAGTCGTGAAGTTAGACAAGTCGGACACATACAAAATTTATAATTCATTGATTCAGTCAGTTTACTATTTACAATATTATATCCTTAAACTTGGTTTTTCGTATAATACAAGAATTGAAAACCCGACTTTTATTTTTGTGCGATATAAAATTTAACTCAGACATTACACGATACACTTATACAACAACCTGTGAATAACATTTCGTAACATATTATATAATTATTCGTCATTTTAATTTTATTAAAATATAGGTAAACTTGTACTCGTTAATATCCAGTGCTCATAAGAAGTCGTTAAACAAAATGATTACCATCAGAATAGTAACTAGAACTCTCGAAAATTCATATGTATAAAATGAAGATCGGTAGCACAACTGTTATTGAAACATTTATTGTATGGTTAATGTTATATTTAGCTTTATGAGGCGTCTCTGTTTTAATTTTTTATTGAACTTTAAACACCTATAAAAAATATGTTATGTTTCTTTGAGTATACTCTAATATTGCTACTAAAACCAAAATCATGAATTGTTCAGTACTTAAATGTGCTGCATCGTTAGTGCATCGATTTTATTTATGAATATTAGTATTAATAATATTATATTGGAGTAAGCTTCTTTAAAATTTTTTGAACAAAAAAATCGTGAAGCTACAATGCTAAATTCATATATGACGAAGCAAAGAGCAGCATCAGCATGAACTAAAACTAATTTAAGCCGGCACGAGGTCAAACAGCGGAATTATTTTCAGGCTATGATGTAGACCAACATCCGAACTGAAGGTCGATACAAACGTGAAATATTGAATCACTCCCTAGTGTATATATCTAAATTGGGCACCCCATAGTCAAGAAATTTCCACGTTTTACACAATCAATATATATTATGTATAAATTAGTATCGAAAGTCATTTTTTATCCTCTC